AGTATACAATATATTATAATTTATACATATGGTGTCCACAGTGGTGCCTATTTTAAAAACAACTAATTTAAAAAAAATTGGTCCATTTTAAATTTTTAATAGTACCATGTCTCATTTCCCAAGAAAAAAAATAACTTTTATAGTGAAATTGAAAATTGACCCAAATACTCTATTATTTTCTAGTCTATACTAGTTGTAATATTGACTTGAGAAAAGTGTTCTATGAATTATGATACAACAATAAAAATTAAAAACACCTTCAATTAACATAAACAATTATTACTGTCTGCCCTAAAAGAATGGGACTTAAACAAGTGGGATCATACCCGGTGGCCCAGTCTTAAGTCCACGTCACTTTCTAGAGCACATTACAACTGGATCTTACCCTCAATTTAATTCAATTGTAGACTAAAAAGTAAAAACAAGGAGGAAAATCCTCGGGCAACTCGAATGTGAGGACACTATTGTTTATAAGAAAACCCATTGGCGGGTTTCGAAAAATTCAAAGACAAATTAAAGAAAANTTTGGAAAGTCTTAGAGCATCTCCAATGCTCAATGTTGTAGTACTAAATTACATTCCAAATCAACACATTTATTAATATTACAATTTTTCATCCTTTAATGTACAATGTGATCACAAATATTGTGATGATGTGGACATAATTAATGTCTACAATGTAAAGAAGAATGTGGTTCATCCACATTCTCCTCCACACTCTAGTTAGCCAATGAAGAGAAGAGAGAGAATTGCTATTACCATTTTTAAGCTATTTAATTATTTGATTAATTTTATTAATTCATATTAAAATTTTATTATTTAGTAAGTAAATAATATTGTAATTTGACTACATTGTGCATTGTGATTTTTTAATTTAATTGTTGTGAACTCAACATTTGTCCTACATGGTTCACAATCTACTTAAATTTTTTGACATTTGTCAAAATTTATCCTACTACAATATTAGAGCATTGGAGATGCTCTTAGTTCCACTTTAATCAATTTTGATATGGGCGTTACTATTTACCGCCCCCTATTACTAGTCACCACCCTACTTGGACGATTTTGCTCTTTTCATTTTTTTCAAACATCTCAGAGCAAAGTGTACGACAAAATGTCTTCAAATTCCGAGGTACGAAAAATTTTATGTCCAGCCGACGAAACCGGACGGCTTTCACCCCGTCCGATCGCCGAAACCAGACGGTCCAAAAGGCGTCCGGCCGGCTAGTTCGGACGACATAAAAGCCGTCCGAAATCTTGGTCTAGTCGAACGGTCTCTGTCCGAACCGGTCGGCCGAACGCCTTAGAAGACGTCCGACGGCGACGACGGTCGAGACCGGTCCGTCCGGTTCAACCGGCCGAACCAATTTTTTTTTTAATATTTTTATAAATTATTATGTCATATATTCGAAATAATTATGTTATAAATTGGACGTTAGATATTATCATGTTAAGAATTAGAAATTATTATGTTACATGTTAGACTTGATTATGCTATTAATTGAACGTTAGATATTATCGTATTATGAGTTAAAAATTATTATGTTACATGTTAGACTTTATTATGCTATAAATTGGATGTTAGATATTATCGTGTTACGAGTTACAAATTATTATGTTACATGTTAGTCTTGGTTATGTTAAAAATTGGACTTTAGATACTATCGTGTTAGGAGTTACAAATTATTATGTTACATGTTAGAGTTGATTATGTTATAAATTGGACGTTGGATATTATCGTGTTAGGAGTTAGAAATTATTGTGTTACATGTTAGACTTGATTATGCTATAAATTAGACGTTAGATATATAATATCATGTTATGAGTTACAAGTTATTATGTTACATATTAGAATTAATTATCTTATACATTAGAATGAATAGATTATAATTTAACATGTTTTAAAAATATAAATATTGTATTATATAGTAGGAGTCATAGGAAGATTTTGGAGGAGATGGTGTTGATTACAGTCTCAGTTTCGATACCCGTACATTATTTAATAGTGATAAGGAGGCTATTGAAGCTGCAAAATACCAGGCAATGCTGAATGGTTTCCTATTAGTAATTTCGAAACACAAAAAGAAAACGGTCAAGCTTTTGAAGTGCCATAGAGGCGAACGCTACAGAGGCAAAGGCGAAAATTCCAGAAAGACAAAAACGAATAAGTGCAATTGCGATTTTGAGATCAAAGTAAAAAAAAAGGTGTCAGGCGAGCCATACTGGAGGATCTGTAGATGTAGCAAGGAAGAGAAGGGCTACCATATGTTAGAGTAGGATACCCGGCGTTCCAATCTGATTGAATACGTACTACTTGTAAAAACAATTTAATGGAATTATATTAATTTAAAGGCATTTCTTTATTTTATATATTAACATTTATCCTATATTTGCACATATGATAAAGTCCCTGGATCATTTAAGGCTATAAGGTATGGTTACGCATAGAGATGGTGATCATGGAACATATCTTGAAAGCTGTGATCTTAAAAACAGTTCCAAGTCGTTGGATATTTCGAGAAGGGATATCGAATAATCCGGAAAGACTTGTACATATGATGTATATTGTTTGACAAGAATGTTGCATTCCATCAACATTAGCGTGAGACGCAAATACATATATGTGGGTGCTTGTTAGAGAACAAGTTCACTGAATATGACCGTATGAAAATTCTGAATGGAAGTTTATTATATCGAATTAGAATTTTCATGTTACAATAGTACATGATTGATCCTTAGACTTGAGGCACGATAGTAACTTTGTGCATATTATATTTTACTTTGATTTATCCTTTTGATTGCTAGCACAGTCGTATAAATGGATATTTTGGGTATCATATTAATATGAATGGAAGTTTGTCAGTGGCCAACATTGGATTCGACACTTATGAAATAAGTGAATTTCCTATGTGTTTCATAGTTTGTAATTCAAAGTCCTTGGTCAAGGCGGGATGAATAGAGATTCATATATGAATTACTAAACTTAAAATAGAATCATAGTTATTAAATCAATTTGGGTTTCGACTAAATCATACCCAAGATTTAATCGAAAAATTAGATGTCGAAAGAATTTTACATGTATGGACTTGTAATCGAAAAGGTTTACTCGCTATTCACTTAATACTAGAATCATGCTACTTGCTAGATGTTCCATGATATGTGGGTTCTTGAATTAAGGAGTTAATTCAAAGAATAAGAATTAATTTGATTAATTCAAATTACAAGTACCCACTACTAGTATTAATAGTGAACCTAAAAGGTCACACCCAATTTTGAATGTAGATCATTTGAAATTAGTATTTCTAAAGAGTTAGAATTAATTGACAAGTATTAATTAAATAATTTGATTATTTAATTAATTCTAATTTTGATTAGATGTTAATTAAAGGAATATACTAAATTAATCAATTGGATTGATTAATTATATTATGGATATTAATTAAGTAATTAATAGAATTACTAAATTAATAGTTGGATTTTAAAATTTAAATCCATATTATAATATGATTATAATAAGAGGAGATTTTATATGTGAAATAATATATTTTGATTATTTTTTTTAGAAAAATTAAATCATAATATTTAATCTTTAATTTGATTAAAGATTAAAATAACAAATAAAATATTATTAGATGGGATCTAATGACATTTTTTTATTGTTAATACTAAAATAATTTTAGATCAAGATGCCATCTAATTTGAATAAAATAATAATTTTAAAAATACAAGATGACATCTTGTGATCTAAATGTTTTAGTATAAATAGGTGTACATATGTGATGTACTAAAAGTATACTTGTATTAACAAGAAAATTGAGAGAGAAAAATCACAAGAATTGTAAATCAAGAAAGTGTTCTTGAACTTTGAGAATTATTTCCATATCAAGAATAGTTCTTGAAAATTTTAATAAAGATTAAAATTATAATCTCCTCTAAAATAAATATTTCGATACTAATTGAACAAATCGAGAAGTTTCTACTAGCGAAGAAACTAGTTCTCGAAATTGAATTACAAAAGGGTGGATACTTTTAGAGGGGAGACACTTGGATCCCTCGGGTGAGTAACAAGAGAGGGTGAAAGTCACATACAACCGGGAATTGATTTCCTCAATCATCATCATATAAAGAAAGAGTTCAAGATAAAAGGTAATTTTCGAAATTACTTATTACAAATCAAAATTCGTATTATTACGTGTTTTTAAATGATGACGATTTGTTTATTCGTTATATGTATCTACGGCTTGAGTATTTATAGGATAAATACTTGTTTTCGAAGCAATTTTTCCGCTGCAAATAACCAGTACGGTACAGGCGAACCCAACACCATAACCATTCCTTTGTTGTGTATCCTGAGGGTCATCGCCAGTTGAGCGGCCTCAGCGCCTCATCTAAGAATATTGTTCGTGATATAACGGACGCTCAGGTGGCCCCGGAAAAAATTATGGCCGCGCTAAAGGAAAAGAATCTGGCAGACAACGTTCATGTGCGACAGGTATATATATTTATATCTTGTAATATATGTTTTAATTAATTTTTTGAAGTTAATTATGATAATTAGTAATTTTTTTATATCTAAAAGTTATTGTAATAATTAATAAATTTTATCATATTTACTAATATATTATTATTATGATAGTTAATAATTTTTTTATGAAATAAATTAATTAATATACTTTTTTATTTATTAATATAATAATTTTTTTGTTTTAAATTATAATAATCATTATAATTAACGCTAATCGGTGACAGGTATATAACTTTGGAGATAAGCTGCGGAAAGAGAGTTTCGAGGGTAGAGACGTTCCTTCCCAGCTTATGCATTTGGCCATGAGCAGCGAGTATACAGTTTTTGCAGAATCCAATCCGAACACGAAAGCGTTGACGCATATATTCATGGCCCATCTGCATCGATCAATCTA